GAATCAGTACGCGGCCGAATGCGTCGCGTATGCGTGCGCGTCCGTCAAACACAAGAAATTTTCAACCACGACCGATTTTCCTTCCGTCTCCCATCGCGTAAAGGGCGAGATCGAGAGACGTCGGAGTTCGCCGCGAGTTCGTCGAATACCGTACGCAAAAGTATACAGCAACAAGTGACCTCGACTTGTCGGTTGGCAACTGGGTGGACGCGATTCAAAGTGTTGATCCTCCCACCCCCGTCTGCTCGCCTGTTTCACCCGCCCGTCCACCCGCGGGGTAATCCCCTCGATGTTCGCGCGGCTTCTTTGTTTCCGCGATGCGTCCGTTTGGACGAGATCTGCGGTTGTAAGAATCCATGAGTGGTCCTGAGAGGATACAGGGAAGAAAGGAAGATCTCTATTTTGGTTCTCCAAGTATCGCGAGGAAGTTGAGTTCTGGTAAAAATAATTACGCGCAAGCGTCTCTTCTCTATTTTTCCCCTCTGACCTCGATTATCACTTGAACGCTGGAAGGACTACCTATAAACGCGAAGGACATGTGACTGCGTCGTGACCGATTCCTTCGAGACAGGGACGTCGCGTAGTCTCCGTCGTGGCGGCAGATCGAAAGTCATTGAAGCGCGAGACACGAATGAAAGACGATAGGGAAGCAAGACCGCGTGCGGCCGAGTGCGAGTAATTCCCGTTCTCCGTTGTCGACGAACGCGCTTGTCAATTTTGATATAACGTCCCACCCATTGTCATCTCTCGTTATCAATCATCGGTGCCGACGGTGCCGTACAGTTGTCATCATTAGCCGTCTGCAAGTCTTAGGGAAACGGACGAGTCGAAATCTAATAATAAACGCATCTCCTTCCGTCCGTTTCCGTCGCTTCAGGGAGTTCCGGAGCAAGGCTTCGAGAGAGAGAAGGAAGAGGGCAAAAATGAGCGCCGCTCGCGCTTGGCGGCCGCGAGCAAAAAAAAGGGGGAGAACTTCGGGTACACTTTCGCCGACCTCGCGCGCGAGCTGGCTGAGCTCTTCGGCTCTCTCGCGACAAAGGCCGCTTGATTCAAGGTCCCACGGATGTGCACGCGCACACGCACCCAGGCTCTCCGTGCAGCGCGACGCGACGCGACGCGGCGCGACGCGGCGCGACGCGGCACGCGGCCTGTTCGTCCACGGCGTCCGCGCCCGCGCTGCATCGAGGATGCTCGCTCGGGATGAAATTTCTTCCACGATATCTTTTGCTTATCATTGACGATTAAGTCTCAAATGTTGAATCGCATTGTTGAAATTTTCCGACAATTGTTTTCCAACGAGCACGAACTTGCTACAAAATTCGCCAGAATTTTTCTAATCTTTCTTGTCTCTCTCTCTCTCTCTCTCTCCCTCTCTCTTTCTTCTCTCTCAAGATCGATAATTAGTTTATAATTAAAGAGTGATATTATTTTCTATAACAGCAACATTCTGATTTTCTTCAATTCGAGTTTGCAACAGAGATGAGAAAGCTTACGATTGTCTGAATTCTCCGAAAAGTTCAAATCGAATCTTTGTATTATACATTGGAGGCACTTGGTCGTTTCCTTTTCTCGTGCGTTAATCCGCTTTCTCGCGAATGGCATCGCGCTAATTTCGGCATTACGCTGTGACAAAAATGGCACACGGATTCGTTTTATCTCTTTTTCTTCCCGATGCACAAACGGTACGATGCGTGCTTGTATTCTCAAGAATTAGTCCGAAATTAATGGGAGAAATTTCACGAAACTTTGTGCGCGATTATTTCATTATCTTTCAAGATTTGATACACACTTTTTCTTTGTCTTATATTCTTCATATAAACAAATTTTTTGTAGCTTTTTCTGTGTATTTCATATCTGAAAAATTTGTAAGCTAAAATTATCCAGCGCAATTTGGGAATGTCTTTTCAGTGACGTGCCAATTCTTTGCATCGATTTGAAGGAATGTCGTAGCGAATTATTTAATGTCGTAAAATCGACGAGCGAGGACGATTTTTCTCGGCGACGTTTGCGTTAGCGACGCACAGCTAATATTAATTCCAAGCGTGTGGAATCTCCGGGTCTCTATGGCAGCTGGTTTATATGCGCTTCTCGGAATTTGCGTTCTGCGCTTCACCGCGGACGAAAGAATCCGCAAACGACTCGTTCTCTGGCACGACTATACGGAGTGTCCCAAAAAAGGTGTCCCGCAATGCTTACGTTCTGTTCTCAAAGGAATTTCATATCTCCTTCCTTAAAAATCTCACCTAAAAAGCGTTTTCTATAATATGCTAGTTACACTTATTCTACAAACTTTATCGTTATAGAGAGAGAGAGAGAGAGAGAATTAGGAGTTAGAAGTTTTTCTTTTTCGATAAAAAGTTTGTTCTAAAGTAAAGAAATCGTTCATTCTTATGCCTCGTGCCATTTAATTTAGAGCATGAATCGACAAATCATAATTACTCGAGTAGTTACGAAATTAATCATTAATGACGTCACGAATCAATATTCATTATAAGAAACTTAAAGAATCGTTCAGTGATAAAAATCCAACGATCATGTATATTCTTTAAAATCACCCTATACACGGCGGGCGACGGTGAGATTGAATTTTTGTGCATGCACCTACAGTCGATTCGACGAAAGTGCAACCGGAGATGGGAAACTAACGGGTGTCAAATTATTTTTACGCGTATAATAAGAAATAAAGAATTAAATTTGATCAGCTCTTATCATTTCAATTTGCCACAATCGACTCTTCTTTAGTGCAAACAGAATTAAATATTGTATATTCGATCATTGATTATATAATAAATATTGGATATCCGAAACAATCGAGCTGTCACATTATCTTTTAATAAAAAAAATAAAATTATTTTTATCTTATAATTACTTTTTTTTTCTTTAATTTGGTTTACGGAAAAGAGGAATGTCTTAAATTTATCTTTATTCCATAATTCTTGTTTGTACGAAGCTATCGTTTTGAACAAAGAATAATACGCTACTATCCAGAATTTATGCGCGCACTATCGGTATGTCGAGATTCACGACCTTTAAAGACTAAAGTTCGCGATATTTAATGTAGACTAAGAGTTATGGACATTAACAAAGTTCAAAATTGCTAAGACAAATATCCTCAAAAGGGTCTTTCTACAAAATTTATTCAACCAGTTTAATCATTAGAATCCGTATAAATAGTACACCTCATTAATTAAAGTATATATATATATATAATTAATTTAAAAAAGTATATACATAATTTACGTTAGTATATTGCTTTCAACGACGTGCGTACATTAAGTTCAACGATGAATTAACGGAAGCTGAATTTAAAATTATGAAGAATTAAATAATAGGCATTTATGCCCGTTTCCAGCATTGTAGATTAACTTTAATCTCAGTTCAACTTACTCCTCATCTTTTTCTAATTTTTAGAACTAGAAAAAGACGAAGAGTAGGTTGAACCGAGATTAAAGTTAATCTATATTGGTGGAAATGGGCATTAGATTGAATATGAATCAAAGTTGAAATTCGAAATAAAATCTTAAATCTTCATGTTAGTAAATGTGTATGTGTTACGTATGTGTGTGTACGCACGTGGAAAGTAAACGGTATCACTCGCGTGCAGCGCGAAATAGTGGAAGCATCTCCGCAAGGTCGAGCTGCGAGCGAAAGTGCCTGGTTAAACGACAGTGCAAGTTTCCAGCGATAGCGAAAGCACCGAGCGGTCACAGCTGTAAAGCTATTAGAGTTTGAGGGCGGAAAACGGGACGACGTGGCGGGATGGAGATGGAAAAGCAACCGCTACATAGCGGGAGCTATCCGTCTATATATCTACGTGCTTTGCGAAAACCACGCGTACAGCCACATGTTACCTGGATTACATAAAGGGTAGCGGGACAGAAATGAACCTATTTTCAATGGACCTCACGTCTGTAGTATCGAAACCAGCTGATCGTAATAATGGACCTCCATAGATAATTTTATCCAAATATAATCCTCCATATATAATTTCATCTCTCACTTTTTTGTTCATATTTAAAAAAATCATACGTCTGAGATTAAATTTTGTATGAATAAAACGACTCCGTGATGTTTTCGCCACCCTGTGGCAGAGTTTGTTGGCAGAGTATGCGTGTAGTCGTGTGCGTGAGTGAGAAAGTGTGAGAGAACAAGAGGAAGAAAGAAGAGCGGCAGGAGACGGATATAGGAGAAAGTGAAGCAGCGAGAGAACGAGAGAATAAACATCGATCGATATTTCGCGGAGGGCTAGCAACCCGATTTTAACGACAGCGATGAAACTCTCACGACTATGAACAAGTCTTTAGACTTAACGCATAAAAACCGCATGTATTTTAATAATTTAAATATTCATTTTTGAAAGAATAACATTTATATTTGTTACACGCAGAGGAGGGGAGGAGGGTCGAATAATTTAACTTTTTTATTTTCTAATTTTTTATAAACAATTTCAAAAATTATCGATTCTGCTTCGAGGAAGTATTTATCAACAACGGTACGTTCCGCCTTCCGTCTTCCGTCTTCGATCGGGTTGCTCCACTCGGAATGATGTGACGAGTTCAAAGCCATCGTCGGACTTCTAAGCAACGTGAATGAAACGGCTAGGCGCAACGTACGCAAGTATCAAAGCGAGCGTACGAGTTGGTGTGCGAAACCAACGCCGAACGTAATAGTAGCCTTGGCTTAGCGATGGTCACGTTATAAGCAACGTCTGTGACATATTCTCGTATAGTCTCGCGTCACGTGTGCGCTCCCGCTCGCGTGATGTATAACGTATTCGCTGATCCGCGTTAGCGACACTATTTTTTTTTTTTTTTTTTTTTTTTTTTTTTTTTTTTTTTCGTCGATTTTTCTACCCTCGACACGACGTACAAGTCACGCTTTATGAATCAGTTCAACGTCAATCGAGCATTCGTTTTATCATATCGGAAAAAGTTTTCATCTTTTCTTGTGAAATGACACGAATATCTGATAGACAAATCCTTTTGTTTCCTCTGTTTCAGATCGTACAAATCAACCGCCTTCTAACAAGCCACATTAACCTCAAGTGATTTCTATTTTCTTACGAAACGCGAAAGAAATATGTAATTAGTATGTTTATATCGATTTAAAGAAGGAACACACAAAAAAAAAGAAAATATCCAAGAGCTTAGGTTCAGAAGACAAAAGATTAAGAGCTATATTAGCTATAAGTGTACAAAGTATATCTAATTAAAGGAAGAAGACAAAATACAGATTAAAACAAATAAATAAACAAGTCCGCCAGTGCCAAATTGAGAAAGAAAACAAAGTGAAAGTGATCGTTGTAACAGGAAGAGGGAGAGAGAGAGAGAGAGAGAGAGAGAGAGAGAGAGAGAATAGAATAGAATATAGTAAGATTTATTTTATCTGGAATATAAAAGAAATAATCTTTTAGGCACACGCATTCTATAAATTTCATAAGAATAAATACAATCAAGTGCAAACATACAGCAGTAAATAAAACCAGAAGGAAGAAAGAAAGAGCGACAGAGTAATACATTGCGAGAGCAGGACCGTAAACCAAAGAATCTACCATTTTTTTTCTATTAATCATTCATCGAATAACAATAATCTCTCGTCAAGTGAAATAATAGTGAGACACACACACACACACACACACACACACCGATTCCTTCGTCAGAGCCAGATTAATTAAGCGAGCCGGCATACAGTTTTGTAGAGGTTTATAGAAATAGCCGTAAAATATAAGTGCATTTTTTAAACTGGACGTGTCACGTGACAGATTTTCGCCAAGCGAAAGGAAGAAGAAGACAAAGGGAGGAATCAACTTCAATCAAAGGATTCGATTAAACACTCCCAGAGTAACCGATCTACTTCAGTTCGTAGCCTAAACCTGTTGAGTACAAAACGACACAGAGTTAAAGATATAGATAGACAGAGAAACGAAGAGAAAGAGAGAAGAAGAACGAGAGAACAAAAGCGTAATATTGAAGAATAGATCATTACCTGGAAAATTATGTGCGACTGAAACACACGGGCTATTTCCAGACAAGTGTAACTATTCCGGAATCTACTTTGAGATAAGGATTTGCGCGAATATCGCGAATGCCGATCATAAACGACCTTCCGTCGTTATCAAAGAAATCGGACCTCTAGGATCCGATTCAACAAATTAATGGAAATCAGAGTGCGATCAGAGTCGATCGAGAAAGGCGCCAATGTCGCGTACAAGAATTTCATTGATTATCCGTTCGAAAAAAAGTAGATAATCTCGAGCCTTCGTATTGAAAAAGGATAAGCATCCAGCGAGAGGGATTCTCGGGAGGTTGCAGGAAGAGGATCACCACCAAGTGGGCACGCGAAACTCGCCAACCGGGTGGAGGCGTTAAAGTCGCGATGACGTGGCGAGGAAGATGAGCGCCGAGGTGACGAAGGAGGTCGTCGCCACCGAGAGGGTCCCGACGAGCCCTCCGGCGGCGGTTGCGACCTCACCGGGCACGGTCGGCACCGGCGACCTGACGGCGCGGCATCTGCCGCCCTTCAGCAGCTTCGCCGGCGATAACACGATGGACACCTCGACGCTGCCACCGCTCCATACTCAAGATGTTGGGCCAAATCTGATAGGTTGGGACTACTACGAAGGCCTGACTGGCCGACTAATCGATGTGGTCCCGGCGAGCCAGTATAGACCTTGGGAGTCCAAAGGTGGCGGCCCGGAGGGACTGCCTAGCTTCGCAAGTCAGTTCACCGCCCCGAGCGAATCTGAACCTCAATTAACGGCGTTGACGCCGTTGTCACCAGCGTCTATTTCACATTCGCCACCGGTTACGTCAGCCGTGGGCCTGCCAAGTTTCCACACACTTGGAGCACCGCTTCCGACGCCGCATCCGCATCGTGGATCGGTCGGTTATCCTCTGGTACCGGCACCAGTAGCAGCTCGGGACGTCTCGACTATACAGCAGCAGATGCTCGACGAACGTCACATACAGCTCTTGGGCTCCGGCCAAGTCCAAGCGTTTCCGCCACCTCCACCGGGTCATCCGCATCATACAGTGCTGACGGTAGTAAAGCCCGAATACGCGCAATTGCACCACGCGAATTTCCAAAATCCGATATCAACCGTGTTGGACTCCTCGCCGACTTCACGGCCGATTGGCATCGATGGACGTAAAAAGGAGCGCAGAAAAATCCGTGCTGGTTCCATGGAATCGGAAGATGGTGGCGGGGGTGGGGGCGGCGGTGGTGGTGGTGCTGGTACCGGCAACGTAGAAAGTTCTGGTCAGGTAGCCGCCGTCTCATCCACCGCGAATCGTGGCGTGCACCATCTCGGTGGAGGTATAACCGACGGCGACGGTGATGGTGGCCTTGGCGACAAGCCGGCGAAGAAAAAACGGAAGAGATGCGGCGAGTGCATAGGCTGCCAGCGCAAGGACAATTGCGGGGATTGTGCGCCATGCAGAAACGATAAAAGTCATCAGATCTGTAAGATGAGGAGATGCGAGAAGCTCACGGAGAAGAAGGTAAGTGAACTATCAATTCAAACCAATCATGTTATTGATATCGTGACATTTATTTAAATCTTTTTCACGCACATTATTTACGCACACACATTATTTAAGAGTAAAACGCGTATTTTGATTGACAACGATTTGCGTTATCTTTCGTCACACTGGTAACATGGAATTTTAACTGTTCTGTTAGTAACAGGGATCTTCGAAAAATTGAGCAATTTTTTATTGTTCCGGATTATATAAAAATTTGAAAAAATACTTGTTAAAGCTTTTAACAAGTTTTTCTCGAAGTTGAATTGTATTTTACTTATTTTTTATATAGATTTAAATTTATCTAGAATTCATAATCAAAATATCATTGTCTAAAGACAATGATATTTTGATTATGAATTCTAGATAAATTTAGATAAAGACCTCCGTTGCTGACTGAAGGTTAAATGTAAGAATATTCAATTCTGAAAAAAATTACACAAGTATTGAAAAACGCAGAGCAGACACGCAAACTCGGTTCTTCGATGATTGGTTCTGTGAAATCTGCTACGATAGACGCGAGCGTATATAGTCGTAAGAAGGTATAAACGCACAGACAAAACGCCGTTAGAGAACGATATATATATATATATATATATATATACAATATATATAGTTTGAACTTGGCCTCGATGCCTGAATGTGCCGTGAATCCCTGAGGGAAATACAGAAATACAGAGATAACCGAGTGGTTTATTATTGTAGCGACACTGAATAGGGGGTTGGCGAGCTGACTGGTTGACTGTTCAGCTGCTATCGTACAACTAGGGATGGCGTGAAACTACCTATAATTCTCTGCGTTTGATCAGAGCTGAGTTAGAATTGCTATATTGATAAGCATGATATTAAGAGGAAAATCTAAATTAATCTCGTATCTGCTTGTTTTAAATACGGTAGATCTTTTAAAATGCTAGAATAAAAATGCGACGAATAAAAATTAATTCTCTGCAATTAATATGTAAATTCGACTACATGTGCTGAAAGACCACAATCTGATTAGTGAAGAACGCGCAAGTTATGTATACATATACATATGCATATACATATATTATATATTTTTTCCGCAACAAAATTATTCGCAGCTTGTAAGAGCCTTATGCCTTATTAACATAAAATTATTAATAATCTTATAAGATATTCTTATTAGCATAAAAATTATTAAATTACTTGAATTTATTATAATATGTAATAGTACTTCTTTAGTTCTATCTATTACGTTTCAAGACTGAAAAGGATTTCAACGCGCGGTTTGCAGAATCAGATATGTATTCACATGGAAACATTTAAGCACTAAGGGCGGTATTCATAGTCGATTCTTACATTCAAGACCGTCTCAAGATATCACGAACCAATCAGATGGCCGTATTAACATCTTAAGACATTATTTAAGACGATCTTGAAATAAGGATCTATCATAATGGACTATGAATATCTATGATTCACCTATGATCCGCCTTGAAACTGAAAATAAAATTTCTCTTAATTATATATACGTATATTGTATGTATAATACATCGTCGCCATGATTCTACCATAACTACGCTTGACGCCTCGAGAAAATGAAGCGCGCAGCAACAACGACTCGTAAAGCGGCCTCGCTTATCGTAGGGCAAGTTCAAGGCTCACCGCGGGTCATAATAATCACGTATCGAACTTCGTTTCTCGTTCAGAAACAGGCGTATTGTTTGCCGGCGACACGCGCACCGAACCGCACGTCTCGGCCCGACGACGCCCGTCAATATAAATCCACCGATAACATTCCGTTATTTATCAATTAGTATTTCGATTTATTTGATCGATGAGTTTTACAGCTTCCTGATAGCGTGCTCTAATTTAATCAGCATTTAAAAGGACCAGGTATTTATTCTTTATTTCCTGATAATCAACAATGCGGCACGATAAAAGTGACATTCTGGGCGTTTTCTGGGAGTTTTAGAAAATTTTCGGATCTCCCAAGTTTCCAAGTTAATTCCAGAAGCTCCGATCTTTCTTTTATCTACCAGCGTGTCAAATTTCCGACAACTATTTCTAGCAATGCCGAAAGTCACGTGTGATTCAAAAGAAAGGGATGATAGATCGGTAGAAGAGTCGAAGACCGCTGTGTATAGGCGTGCCGTCACAACAACCCCCTTAGAACTTAACACCCTCTTTACCCCAAGGGAAGGAACGGCCATCCCTGCTCTGTCTTTCCTTTCGCTCGCGAGAAAGAACTCTGCCCTCAGTGAGTTCATCGCACACCTGCTGTCGAGAGGCCGTATCCACCCTTCCCCTTTGACTGCCGCTCTGATTTTTATCGCCTTCCTCCTTGTTTTGACCCGATTTCTCATAAACATGGATGGATCATTGACCCACCGCATCTTCGAAGTATCTTTGCACCGCTCTTACTCGCTTGTCTCGCAGAACGGATAAGAACATAAAAAAGCATGTTTTTTCATCCGCGCTTTATACATAATGTAGCATTTCATTAAATGTGACGTGCTCTTAGATTTCTCTCTCTCTCTCTCTCTCTCTCTCTCTCTCTCTCTCTCTCTCTCTCTCTCTCTCTCTCTCTCTCTCTATGTCTCTCATGGATTATATGTAGGATAAAGTAGTATAATTTCGAACATGATACATTTTTGAACAAAATAAAATTTGAATTCAATTTTTCGGAGTTCAAGTTTAATAATCTTCTTATTATGTGGTGAATATTGAAGGATACCAAACGGGAAAAAAATCAATTTCGAACTTTGAAAATTGGAACATTCAAGTTTCATTTCGTTCAAAGTTGTACCATGTTCGAACTTTTATCATCTTACTCCGTATCATCGCATTGTTCCCTGCTCAACGATTTAACTCGACAATTTTCCGTAAAAACAGAGATCAACGCGCGTACATACTCCACAGCTGCGAATTGTCTTTCGCGAAAGACGAAAATAAATGTGAACGGTAGCCATGGTGAAGTGGCGTCTCGGTTCCGGTTTCTCGATAAATCGAAACAACGGAAGCCCGTCAAAGCCAGCGAGAAGGCGGACGGGAGAACGAGCGGGTGACGAGGAGGGAGGGGGGGCGAAAGGGGGAAAAGAGAAAGGGGATCTGTTTCGTGAGCGGACGAGGGTTCGGTTACGTTAACTTGCAGCGCGAAACTCGGCTCGTCTCGACGAGGCGGCGAGTCCCGCAGAGTGCATTACCAATGCTTTTTGCGTTATTCGCTTAAAGCGATAACCGCACGATAACCGGATACAATTCTCGGCTGCTCAGGGTTATCTGACGGCAGGCCAATCAACCCGTTCGCTCCTCGTCATGGCAGAATAATGCGACGGGCTCGTGCCATCGGCACGAGCATTAAAAAAAAGATCAAATGCTGCGCATCGGTACTGATTTTTTTTCCGATGTAATGTTTTGGGTTGTAATGTTTTGGGACTCTATCGAAAGCAACTAAATTTATCCGGCGCAATCTCTCTAAACGTGACGATATCAATCAACGATAAATTTGGATGGTTCATTTTACGAATTTAATCATAATTGATAATGAAAATCTTCATTTAATTTGCAATATACTTGTTAAATATCTCTTTCTCTTCTTTTTTTTCTTTCTTTATCTCAACACACACACTCACACACACACACACACACACATTGTTTTATTTCCTTAGAAAAAATTCTTCCCAGTTTGGTAAATTATTCGCGTTATCTTCGATGCGGGTATTCATGGCACGATTGAGTTCGTCGACTTGACGATAACGCTCTTGGAACAGAAGGACGAAAGCGAGGCGGAGTTATCAGCGAGGTATAAAAAGCAAGCGTTTTTCGCTCGCGAATTTAAATGAACGAAAAAGGCGTACCGCTTCCGAATCAGCCCGAGAAAATCGACTTCGTCGCGGGATTCGTGGACGGCGAGGAGAAGGAGGAAGGAAGGAAAACGTAGAAAGGAGCGCGGAGGGATGTGAGGGAGGACCTTGAAGCTACGCAATTCCCGCTAACGGCAGGAGTGTGTTCTCGAGTCGATATATCGATCCCCACCCCCACTCGTTGTTTCCTGCCGCGGGAAACAGGACTCGTTCTCTTTCTCCCTCTCCCACAGGATGACTCACAGCTTCCCCGCACACACGCAGCCACGCACGTGCGACGGCCGCGCGATCGCGAGCGCGAACGTGCGCGCGCCTCGCTTCGCCTCGCCTCACCTCGATTCGCAGTTACGTAAAGTCGTTTCGGCTGGTTAAACGACAGACCATGTACAGGAAGAAATTGTGACGTTTAATCGTAACAATTATTTCATCCGTCGCCAATATCGACAATATCTCGCCTCGCCTCGCCTCGCCTCGCCTCGCCTCGCCTCGCCGATCTCCAATTCTCTATGCGTTATACGTTCAACCCGGGGAAAGATACGACAGATTATTTTTTTTTCTTTTTTTACAAGCTTCTACTTACAATGTTTCTTATTTTGTTTTTTTAAATTTTGGATCAATAAACAAATATTTCCTGCGTGTCGGCGAAAATCATTATCGTCATAAGTATTGATTCGAAAATTATCTCATGTTGGACAAACATATATACTTGCACGATAATTCGTACGAGTTCAATCAGAGCATGACGTGAAATTTATCCATCCGTTTTTTCCGGGTCTTATTTTCGCAATTTCAAACAACAATTTTTCACGCACACGTGCGAAAGAAGGGGCGAGAAACATAGACGAATAGAAGCAAGGGGAGAAAATGGCGAGGGAACGATTTCTTTTTGTTAAATTTTTGTGGTTTATAGAAAAATCGTCCATTACACACCACCCCCATCGTTGCGTTTTCTCTCTTCCTCTTTACTGGCCGAATTTTCTACGCGTATGCGAAGAAAACGCATGCGGAAAATGTTTGCACACGCACTCGATCGACCCGTTTGCCACGATGGAGATTCCTTGCACCCTTCTACCCCCAGCTTCCCCAGTGTCTCACCCTCCGCATCTCTCTTCCACGATAATTCCATCCCCACTTTGCCTTCCTCTTCTCTTT